CGTACCGCCAAAAAAAAAAAAGAATCCACCTGCCAACGCAGGGGACATGGGTTCGATCCCTGGTCTGGGAAGATCTCACATGCCACGGAGCAACTAAGCCCCGCGTGCCACAACTACTGAAGCCCGGGTGCCACAACTAATGAAGCCCGCACGCCTAGAGCCTGTGCTCTGCAACGAGCAGCCACCACAATGAGAAGCCCGCGCACCGCAATGAAGAGTAGCCCCCCACTCGCCGCAACCAGAGAAAGCCCATGCGCGGCAACGAAGACCCAACACAGCCAAAAAACAAAAACAAAAATCACAGAACAGTGCACTGCACTTGATAAACAGTGAAACTTTGATTCAGTTATCAACATACGGTGTGTATGTATTTCTTATTGTGTGCCACTTAAAAAAAAAAGTTAAATAAATCACTACCAGTGGGTGGTTTATAAAGGCCATTTCCCACAGTTCTATCAGAACAGGAACCAAGCAGATCAACGACAGGGAATAGGATGGGGGGTGTGGGGAGAAGGAGGAAATTCTGCAGAGAATTATTTTTATTTATTTATTTTTTAAGATCACAGTATGTTAACCTCAAATAGAAAGATATTAATGGAAAAAATTTTTTAAAAATGCTTAGTTACACTTCTAAATGATTGCCAGTAAAAACTAGCTTTCCTAATTTTCATGGTGATATTTCCCATGTGAGTCCTGAAGAAATTAGTCTAATTACTGTCAAATTACAATCAAAAGATTTCCAGTAAATTAAAAAAAATAAAGGCACAGCCATGGGAAAATACTCACTGGAAGTCCAACCTGATGCGGAGCCTTGGTTTATTGCCAGCAGATGGGAGGTGTAAGCTCAGGGCACACATACCATGCTGCCCCACGTGTTTCTTTTCATCCTGACCAGGGACTTAACCTGGGCCATGGCAGTGAAAGCACCGAATCCTATCCACTGGACCACCAGGGAACTCCCGAGTCTCATGTGACTTTCTAAATTATCTAGTTTGCTTTTTACAAAAGCAATATATTTCCTTCTTTTCTCAACTCTTAGTAGAAAACACTTAAACAGCAAACAAAAGCAATTCATGGAGAGTGGTCCACTTACCACAAAGTGGTTGATGTTCAACATTTCATACTGAAAGGGGCTTAAGAGAAAAATTACCTGCGTGCCTGGGAACTGTCATTACAGGAAACAAAACATGTCTTAATTTTCTAGTGTCAGGCAATAATCAAATATACCCCACTGGGAGGAGTGTTACTGATGATGTATAACCCTGCTGAGAATCCACTTCAGGGTAAAGATATGGTTATTAGAACTTTCCAAGCAATGGATCTGAATTTAGTTATCAGAATGACTAAACAGGGGAACATTTGGGACTTAAGATCATTCTGGGAAATAGTATAAAAACTTCAACAAAACAACATGCTGCAAGCCTAGCGGCCTTCCAATTTCAACATACTCCCCCAAACAACTAAGTTACCCATACCCACCCAAGAAAGTTATGTATAATCAATGAGTCTAATTCACCTGAGATTTGGCCAGTGAAATAAAATTCAAGAGGCCCTTGAAACTCAATGAAATATTATTTCTCTCATATGTGTATCACAGAAGACATTCTTTCAAGTGAAAGAGTATCTTTGAGTGAGATATTTTGGCCTTAAAAAAAAAACAGACTTCTAGTCTGTTTTTGAGGTTGAAATTATGGGAGAAGGCACTGTAGATAAACGAATTTTTTGACTACTTCATGGCAACATACTTTTACTTTATCCAATGCCATAGAGTTTCTATTCCTTGTAGCAGAAACTTTCCCTCCTCAATACTGCATTTCCTTAGTCATTTCCCAGGCAATTTTCATTTTTTTGCTGTTTAAGGAAACAAGATTAAAACCCAAAGTTAACTCCATGATTATGTATACTAAACAAGAGCCAACAACTACAACCTACTTTTGTTTCATTGTAAATCTGGCATTTTAAGGTTTAAAAGATGGTAGATAAAGGGCAGCCAATGAATAAATTTCAGTATATTTTGTTTGAGTCATTCTTTAACAGCTATGGCATTATGATGCTGTTTCCCTTTTGTCTTTGCCTATTCCTGTATATGCAGGTAATCATAGTATATATTCACAATTTTGTAGCCTACTTTTGAAAGTTTAACATGCTATACTCATTTGATACATAGTAACATACATATATTCACTGTTTCTTGAGTATCTTCTAGGTGCTTAATGGTTTATATGAATCATCTTTTTATTCTTTCAGTTCTGTGATTTAGGTATTAAAGATTAAATAATTTGCACAGGGCTAGTAAGTCAAAGAATTAAGAGTTATGACTCCCAAACCTTTAAAAAAAATCATTACTTGCAATGACTACATATCTCGCCAACAGGATTTACTCTTACTTATTTAACTGGCCTTTCACTGTTAGACATTCAGGCTACTTCCAATTGTTTCCTGTGTAATGCCCCTTAAATTGCCTCCATATACCAATCTTACAGCTTGGTCATGGTTCCAAAGGACTTCTGGGGCTACTCCTTCAATGAATAAACACCTCCTTGAGCCCCCATGTATTTAACATCATATTGTTTCCAGACCCTTCTCAACCAGGAGCTGCTAGAAATTAAGCCCTAAGGTACCACTGTATGTAATGAATTAACTTCTCTCTTGTGCATCAAGAATGATGCTGCCTAGGTACCATTAACCTTCACATCTTTGGTTGAGCTTTAGGCCAGTTGTGGGTATATCCCTAACCCTAATTAGGGCTGCAATGATTCTGCTTTGTACAACAATGGAAATAAAGGCCTCTGCCTGCAGTGTAGTGTTAAATCTTCAAGCTCTTCAGTCATATTTTACTCTGGCTCCTATATATACAATTCCATTCGCAATTCCTGGGCCTGCAGGGAAGTAGGGAAGGGGGATGTCATCCTCCTTGGATGAAGGGTACTGACTTTGATGTGGTGGGTTGAAACCTTATTCTATCAAGGACTCACCCCTGGTTGCATAAAAGTGCCTGTGACCAGTCTGTGAAGTCTTTCTCTCCAGCAAACCACCAATCCTCTCCTGGATTAACATCAGTTAACACAGGTAATTTGGCTCTGAAAACATGGAATCATGCTTTTATTTCATCAATACCTTTTCCTAACCTCTCACTGACTAGACTGCACAGGTACAGCACTTCTCAAAGGTTGCAACATGTTGAATTCCTGATGTCAAAATTTATATACTTAGCTAACATTCATCATCTCTTCTTACCCGTTTCATTAAACTATCTCATTTTATTTGCTCTCATCTGTCTTCACTCATTAGTCCTTTGATGATTTCACCGCTTTTGCACTTAAATGAACATGGTGTTAAACGTTTGCAAAAACACTTGAAAATCAAGCACAGATATCAATACATGCATGCCAGTGTGTTAAGACTAGGAACACATGCCAGGATTAAAATAACTCCAAGCCTGCTACCACAGACCTTTGGTGGAAAGAAACAGGGATGTGCGTTGGCACCAGCTAAGATCACAGGGAAAGGGACTAAAGTCTGCTAGAGAGTTAAGGAGGATAAATTCAGACAATGGACTCCTGCATGCTACCTGGAAATGTTGATCAAAGGCAACACAGAGCCCTCGTGAACTGAGAACTGACATGACAAAGCAGTGCTGGTAGCAGAACTGGCCTGGTAAGCCGGGACAGGAAATGAAGCATAAAGGAGCAAGCATGGATTGGGAGTCCAGGTCTGAGAAAGTGGGCTGGGTTATTGTTCCTAGTAATTTCTAGAGGTGCCAAAGGCCTGGCCCATGACTGTGTCCCAAGAGGGTGGGAAACGTAGGTCTTAAATGTCTGATGACTAAGTAGGAATGGAGAGAAAGGGTATGACCCATGCCAAATGGTGGAGAAAGAAAAGGCAAAAAAGTGTCTCCACACTTTCTGACTCTTCCTGTGGCTCTATCAGTACCAGTGGTAGAATTCTTTTGATTTCTGAATAATTTTACTGAGATTGAAAGGAGACGCAAAGTATGAGTAGTGCTTTCTAGTTCTTATGATTTCAAATCTTGGAGAATTCTAAGATTTGACGGTGTATCTTTCAGACAGGAAAATGGGCTTGATGGTACAGAAAAAAAGGAATGTAGAATACAGTATCACATAAAAACAGGATAACCTCCTTATGCATCTAAAACAGTGACCCATTATAAAAATATATTCTTCCACCTGATCATGACTTTCTCCTGTTTTGCTGAAACGAATTTTCTGGCAACAGGCCTTCTTATGGTATTAAATTGAACGGAATCCATGATTCAATTTAATCTGTTTTCCCTAGTCTTCAGGAACTGAGTGTTTGCACAAAGGCTTCTTTACCAAGAGTGGGGTGTGTGTGAGAAGAATGCTGAACTGATCATAAGATTTCCTATGAAATTAATCTTTCAAAACTGCAAATAGTGACTGCTTAATGGACAGGGGGTTTTCTTTTGGAGCCAGGTGTTTTGGAGCTACATAGAAGTGACAGCTGCACAATACTGTGAATGTACTAAATGCCACCGAATCGAACGCTTACAAGTGGTTAATTTTATGTGAATTTAAAACACAAAACAAAACTGTGCAGTACGTCGGGGATCCAGCACGCACAGTAAGTTCTGTAAGTATCTGCAGGAAGTTTCCTTTGAGTGTGTTTGACCTTTCACCCAGAGAACGCTGTAAACTCACTCAGGGTGGAAATTTATCCTTCTTTGTCCTTTGTTAGAGCCACCACGGCCTAGGACCGCTAGAGGCACAGAGTGCATTTCAAAGCCTCTTCCACCCCTGACACCAGGAAGTAACCCTTTGTGCACTGCAGCCTTGATCTCTGCAAGGGGGTGGGCTTTGTTGTCTCCGCGCTCTCACCGGCGCTCCCGCATCACACTGTGGTCCTGCGGCCAGGCGAGGCTAGGCTCGGCTCTCCCCAAGCGCCACAAGGGTAGGAACCCTGGTTCATTCACCCAGCTGCGCCCGGCACCTGGCACTTCGACCTCTAAGTAAACCGCGACCTCAAGCACTGCTACCGCGGCAAGACCCTCCGCAACCCCATGCTCCGGAAAAGCCGCGCCTGACCCCCAGGGGCCGCGCTCGCGCCGCCCCTCCCCCCTCCGCACGCGGCGGCGCGCGGCTTGCTGGGAAACGTAGTTCCCGGTCGTCCGGCTCCCGAGGAGCAGCCCCGCCCGCGCTTGTTTATCTCCACAGCAGAGGCGAGTTGGGGGTGGGGACGATGCGGCGGCTGCGGAGCGGGTCAGGGGTCCCGCCGCCCGGCCGTGCTGGGCCCTGCCACCGTGCCCCCGCTCGCGGGGGCGAAGGTGAACCAATATAACGGACCCGGTCGCGCGCCCCAGCCACTCACCAGGGTGAGGGCGGCCCGGGTGGGCTGCAACTTCCTCTTGCTCACAGCCCGGACAGTGGCTCGGACTAACGAAGCCGACATCCTCGCCCTCCCGGCGCCCCGATGCCTCGGGCCGGAGCTCGGCCACCTCAGCCTCTCTCCATGGACACGGCGGGCGCATTGACGCCACAAGCTCCGGCGCACGGCGCCCTAGGCCCCGCCCTTCGTGGGCCCGCCCACGCCGTCGCCATTGGGCGGGCCAAATGAGTGACAGGCGGAGAGCGTGGCTTGGCGCTCGGGCCGTGGTCATGTGACGTGGGGCACAGGGGTCGAGGGCAAGGTCGTAGCTCTGCGGCAGATCCACGCGCGCTGACTCAAGCCGGACTGGGGCACAGGGGATGACTTGGACTTGTGGACTCTGGAGGCGCGCCGTTCCACGCCCTGCCTTCTGGGCAAGGTGCTGCCCCGCCGCTTAAGAACTCAGAGGAGTCTACCGGCCGGGGAGGTGCGGTTCTCAAGGGCAGAATGGATTCGAGGCCCGGACAGCTACATACGTTTCCGTCGTCCTTTTTGGTCCAGCTAGGCAGTTCTTAAGAGCGTAGAATTACCGCAGATTCTCAATAAACATGCTCCTTCTCTCCCCCGCCTTTCCCCAAGCTGCTTGGAGTGTTGAAATATGGTACTAACACAATGTTTGCTTTAGGTTGGAATCCAGCTTTACTGTAAGATGTGACTGGGCAGCTCGGGGAATACTTTTATAGCGAGTACCAGTCGATGGCTTGATGGAATACCTGTTGCTTGTCAGATCTTGTGGCTGCTCAGGGACTTCTGTCCTTTAATTCGGCAAACGTTCCTGAGCCCCAGGCATTGTGCAGCCAGCACTATACCCAAGGCATACACAGGAAGCCTGGTAAACGGAAGGTCCAAGGAAGCATTGGCGATCCTGGTAGGAGAGAAGTGCAGTAGGGGCAGCAGATGGAAGGAGAACCTCAAGAAAGGCGGCATTTCTAAGTGCTAAAGGGAAAAAGGAAGGAGGAGGTTCTGTGGAGTCTTGCTGGGGAGGATGGATTCTTGCTCAGTGTTTTGACGTGGAAGGAACTAATCAGTGAAGTGTTTTTTATTTTTATTTTAAAATGCTGGGCTGGGCTGGGCGAGGGCTTCCCCTCGCTCCCCGCCGCGCGCACCACCATGGGCGGAGTGTGAAGTGTTTATTAGAACCCAGTTTATCTTTCATCCCCTAGAGCCTACAGGATTGGATAGTTCAGAATTAGTTAAGTAATTTTCTCTCTGCTACTGAGACGCAGTCGCATTGACAGTAAGAGAATAGTTGTTTTCCAAGCCCCGCTGTGCACAGAAGGAACTGTGGGATTAGGCGAGGTAGTGTGGAATCGTCTCTTGGTTTCATCTTTAACTAGGTGGGTGATTTGACTAGGTGGTGATCTGTGACTAGGTGGGTGATCACGTTCCTTCTCATGCCTTGTCTCCTAAAGATATGGTGAAGATTAAATGAAAAGCTCTTGGAAGACTGCACAGCACACAGCAGCACTCCATAAACGGTGCTAATTGGTAATAGATATTCAAAGATGCCATGAATTGTGAAAATACTCCGTATGATACAATGTCATCATACATTTGTCCAAAGCCACAGAATGTGCTACACCAAGAATGAATCTTAACGTAAACAATGGACTCCAGGTGACAATGATGTGCCCATGTAGGTTCATGGATTGTAACAAATGTCCCACTCCGGTACAGGATGTGGACAGTGGTGGAGGTTGGTGTGCTGCAGGGACCATAAGGGAACTCTCTACCTTCTGCTCCATTTTGCTGTGAACCTAAACCTGCTCTAAAAAATAAAGTTTATTAATAAAAATGTAAAAAAAAGATGCCATGTATTTTTATCAATTATTGAAAAAATACAGTTGCGTAGCACTGTTCAGGTTTCAGAAGAACCCTTGAGCACATTATCTCATTGGAGCCTCACTACTTTGAGCCACACAGAGGAGCGCTGGCATGGCTATTTTATAAATGATGCTTAAACTCAAGCCCTTTAGTATAGTGCCTTAGACACGATTTAAAAAATCCAGTCCTAAATTTTCTGATTGAGGATCCTGTGTATGACTAATAGCTTTCTTTCCTCTATTTAATACACACTACTCAGTTTTTAACTTGTTGGCTGTTTTGCATGTATGTGCTCAGCCACATAATCTACTTGTCAGTGGATCAGGCATACCTAATGTTACTTGAAAATGGTGCAGATCCCTGAAAGAAACTGGCACGTTAGAAGAAAGTGTCTTCATGACTATATAAAAAATGTGTGCTCCTTTATCTCAGAGAAGCAGCTGTTGTGTGGTGTTGAAGTTAGGCGGGTGTGGGGACTGTTGAAGTGGTCGCAAGCTGTAAGCACTTCTAGACTTCCACTAATAGGTTAAAAACTTACAATAGGGAAATGTTCAACACTGCACTTCAGGATTTAATTTCAGGGTTCTAGACATTTAAAAAAGTGTTTTCTTAGTAAGACCGCACTTGATCCTCACTACTGTGGAAGGGCAGGTATGGTTTCCATTTTACAGGCAAGGAAAATGAACTGCTAAAAGGTCAGGGATTTGCCACACTCTCAGCTGGAATAATGGCAGAGCCAGAACCTAATTAAGCCTAGAATTCCACTCAGTGGAAAGTGTGCTAGATTCTTGACTGCTGCTGTCCAAACAAGCCTGCTTTCAAAGAAAAAAAAGTACCGAGCACATCTTTGCAGTTTTAGGGAGGTTTGTTAAATTCTGTTTGCTTTTCAACATTTTTTTTTGCCATAATACTGAACCCTATTGACTTATCTACCCAGGATTTTTTCCACTAGGGAAATATATATATATATACATACACACACACACACACACACACACACACACACACATATATTTGAATAAACTTAAGTTATCTGAGAACATTTAATAACATCTCTAAGTGTGCACACTCCTGCTACTGTACACACTGAGCAAGAGATTAAAAAGTGTAGATTGGGGGTATAAAAAATGGATTTCATATTTTTGTTTTTTCTTGAGAGAAAGAGGAAGGGAGAACCCTGGTGGTGGGGCATTTCTGCAGCTTGTAAGAGACAGACCAGCTGCATCTGCAAGATAGCCACACCCTGGAAACTGGACTCAGCATGGAGCAGATGTTCCTGTCCCCCAGCTGGGGTGCTGAGAAGGGGCTGTGACCAGCATCCAAGTAAAGGGAGTGAAGAGAACCAAGGGCAATACATTATCCAGGTCTGCTGGCAAATACTAGTCACTGTCCCACTGATTCAGTGTGATGAACTGAAAATCAAAAAGCTATCAAATATATTAGGCAGAATCTACTTTAGAAATCAGAATAAAATGTAGGAAACTTTCAACATTCTTCAAAGGATATATGAAAATATGGTTTCTATGAAAAGGAAGATAAGAACAAACTAAAAGATAGGGAGGAAAAGGAAGGTGGTGGGTTAGGTAAGTTCAATAAAGTTAAAAGTGCAATAACAAACCTCATGTTAGAAAGAGCAAACAGCAGGATGACACTAAAAATCAAGCCAGTCACGTGGAGGTTAAACTTGACAAGCTTTCCTAACCAGAAAGGAAAGAGATGATAGGGAGAGGCATTTGAGAATAGACAAAAGTATTTTTGAGAACTAAAATTATGAATATAGATATTCTCTCAAATTAAAAAAAAAAACTTAGGTGGGGAGAGACATTGGATTCACTTTTGTTTCAGACAAATGTCACTGATGCAAAAGTTACAAGGAGAAATAAACACAGAAGCACCCAAGGAGAAAAATAAAACCTAAAAGGGAACAAAATTTAGGTTGGCCCCAATCTCGTTACTATGCCAGAAGACAACAGAATGCCATCAACAGTCTTTCCAAAGAAAGTGACAAGAATTACGTGTCCAGTCGACTTTCATGTGCGAAGGCAAGAGAAGAAAAGAGGAGCAGCGAGGAAAGTCAGGTAGAGCAGTTTTAGCGCAGGGTGCTTAATTCACTTGTTAATTCATGAGTTTCTGTTCATTCAAAACTGAGTAAGGAATAATCCCTAATTCTTTCTACCACAACTTCCCTACTCTAAAGTTATTATTTTTTTCTTTTTTTGGCTGCCCCGCATGGCTTGCAGTATCTCAGTTCCCTGGCCAGGGACTGAATCTGGGCTACAGCAGTGAAAGCCCCGAATCCTAACCACTATGCCAAAGGGAACTCCCCTCTAAAGTTAATTTTGATATGGTTCTTTTTTAGCTGGAAAATGTCTCCAAGTAATTTGTTTAAAAGAAGGGCACACAAGGTGTGCTACTTTCTGAGCCCTCTTCTATCTGGGAACGTTTGCCCAGCAAGCACCCCCTGCAGCCCTTCCTATGCATTCATCCCCCATAAATCTGTGCCTCTTACTGGCACATTCCCAGGACTTGGCAGGCGTCGGGTGTCAATAAACACCATATCGAATGAGCACATGTAAAGGGAACACGGGATAAAGAGGAGCAGATCTGTACCGCCCTTAATCCTTGACCTAGTTTCCTCAGGAAATGTATGACTCTCAGTGGAAAGTAATGTGGATAAAGTTACAGGTTGAAAATGTGATTTTATTTCAAAATGATAAATAAACCGAGGCATAGTTTAGACCATGTACTACTTCTGAAGGGCTTGTAAATTAGAGAAACAGTTCCAGAAGGGCTCCAGTCAGACCAATCAAACTCATGATTGGCAGAGATAGCCTCTTTAATAATCAGGGATTTTAAAAGTCCTCCACCCTAATTTCTGAATATCATAAAAAGTAAAAATTACTTTTGTCATTTTTCCTTTGAAAATGTTTTTAGCAGCAAACAGGACTCTTGTTTTCCTCACTTCATTTTTATGACCATAGTAGTTATATGTCAACTTACTTAAAATTAGAGAGGGAAGAAAACTAAAAGCCCCTCCGTGGCACTGCTCATCCACGGAAGGCTCACATAAGTAGGTACTCATGTTCACGTTATCACTTCTTCTACAAATATCAATAAAGTAAGGTTTGTAAATCGTAAATACAGTAGTGGCAGTTCACACATATTTGACACGCTTTCACACAAGGATTCAGTCAACAACAATAAATATAATTTCCCCTCTTCAAAACAAACAAACAAAAAGGATTTATAAGGGAAAAAAAGGATTAATTTACTTGGAGTTTATCAGCACACCAATTTTAGTGTGCTTTGAAAGAATTAAAAAGCATGAAATTGTATTCCTGAATACTGGCCCATAGTTACATTTTTTTTTTTAAACCTGTCTTCAATACATACATCATGGCTTTCTATTAAAATTCTTAAATCTACAGGGATTTGTAGTAAGACTATATAAAAATTTTTTTTCCTCATTAACAATTTCATTAAGTTAAAAAAAAAAATCGGACATTTCCCTTAAATGTTAAGTTGAAACCTGATCTATGCTGCTGTGTCCTGTGAAATGAACCTAATTTTCAAAGTGAATTGGAACGCCTGAGTGGCCATTTAGAGTGCGGCATTTTCCTTCCCTCATGTTTCCTGCTGGGTCCTCTTCGCTGAGGCTTTTCCCTGAGTCATATATTTACTGGAAAGGCTACCTAGAGGAGGGGAAAAAACAAAACCCAACATAAATGAAACAAGCCTCACTTTATCGTAAACGCCATACAATTACTTCTTATCGTTAATTATTCACAGAAACTTTTCATACTGGTCACTTGTTTTGAATCAGTAATTTGGCTAGATATATTGTAAAAAGGTATATATAGAACATTATCTATTAAACATAAGCCTCGTCACATTCTTTCTAAATGCAGACGAGTTGCTAGAGTGACATCATTTTAATACATCTGCATGCTCACTATTTACATATTGGTACAGAAGGCCAGGTGAACTTTTAAAGGCTCTGCTCTGCATCTGCAACCAAACAGAACAGATTGCAAAGAATACTTTGGTCAGGAATATATATCTTGCATCATTACTCTGAAGACACGAAGCTGTGAATGGCGATATTGTAGCCATAAGTCATTGATTTAAAAGAAAAAAAGGAAATTTATTATATTTACAGGTGAAGGACAGAAATAAAGACTGCTAATTAAATGCATACCACAGAACAGTTCATAAATTCTGTTCTGGAGTCTAAACAAATAGATCAACAAAGCAAGGAAATTGAGAAATTCTTAAGTGATTACTTGTAAGAAAGTAGTATATAACAAAGGTTATACACATTGATTATATACATTTCAAACCAGTGGGGGAAAGTATGGATTGTTCAATAACTGGTATTGTGTCAAATAAGTAATTTTGGAAGAAAAGGGTTAGATAAGTTTCCTTCCTCACATCACACTTTTCCTCCCCACCTAATTCCAAATGAATTATAGAATTAAATATAAGAGAGTCAAAGTATAAGAAGTAGTGAATATTTATACAATCTTGGGATAGGGAAAGAGTTTCCTAAGTACATCACATTATATTTTATTTATGAAAAAGGCTTTCTGTGCTTAGTACTAAAGAAGTTACAAATCAATAGAGAAAAGATGAACACCAATAGATAGCTGGTGAAAGAAAAAGCAATATATGAAAGAGAAAAAAACAGCACAAAAAAATATTCAATATCAATGGGTAATCAAAGAAATGCAAACAAGATACCAATTCCTAACCACCAAATTGTTTGACGGAAGAGCAGAAGGACAGGGAAGTGGGGAGAAATTTTGGTAAAGGAATATTCATACAAACCTTACAATAATTTAAGTATGCAAACAACTCAAATGTCCAGAACTTGTGATATGACTAAGTATATCATGAACACAATAGGATTATTAGGTATGCAGAGGATAATTAATAACATGAAAAAAGCAGGTTATAAAACCACATGAATAATATTTTCATTAAAACTAAAAATTAAAAAAGGAAAAAGGAAAAACCCTACCAATCAGATATTTGGCGCCTCATTTTCCTTATCTGTAAAATAAGGGCAATAACACCTATCCCCTTGGAGTTATTGTGACGATTAAATTAATTAATACATGTAAAGCAACTGAAACTGGCACATAGAAAGTACTCAATAAATGCTAACTATTATCATTACACTGATGTAAAAAGCTGGGAAGATTTTACCTCCAAAATCTAAACAATAGTTAATGCTCTAGAACGGGACAAGTATAAATGGCTTATATTTTCATTTTGCTTAAACTATACTTTCTAAAATGTCCAAAGCCAAAATATTAAGTATGCAAATATAAACTTATGCCCCCAAAAATCAAACTTTTCGAAGCAGGACACCTAGATAGTCAACTCACAGTGAAAAATGAGTGCTATGTCAGGAAGATTCAAAGTACTCTACTTGTGTATAAATACCATATTTATATCATGGAGTGTCTACTGGTCAAAAATACACATCTTTGATATTCTGAACTGCACAAAGTATTGAAGACAGGCTTTTCACTTGAGGGACAAAAATTTAGATCACTACACCTCATATTCTACACACACTTCAGATGGATTAAAGATCTAAATAGGAAAAATAAGGTTTTAAAGCTAATAGAAAAAAATACAGATGTATATCTTTATAACCTCAGGCTAGGGAAGAATTTCTGAAAGATAACCCTAAAATCATGAATCACATGTCCATGAAAACTAATCAGGGAAAACCAATCATCTGATTATCTCAAAATTAAAAACTGAAGTGGCAATAGATACAAGGTGAAAGACAAGATATACTGGAGGAAGATATTAAGGAAGTATATAATAATAAATGCTCAGTATTCAGAATGAAGAACCCTTGTAAATTATTAAGGAAATGATAACGCAACAGGAAAATGGGCAAATGATCTGAACAGACCATTTATAAAAGAGGAACTCCAACTAGCCGGTAAACATAGAAAAAGGTGCTTAGCATCACCAGAGTCATGCTTAGCATCACCAGAGTCAAAAAAATACCCATTAGAACAACACACCAAAGTATTTTTCACTCATCAGATTTGTAAGAATAAACACTGCTGATGTGAGTGATAATTGTTTCAACCAATAAGAGGGTATACGACAGTATCTAACTAAAGTGAAAAGGCACATATGCACATATGAAAATGCGCTATGACCCAACAATTTGACTTCTAGGTACTCAAACCCTATAGAATCTCTAAAACATGCTCAAGAAGACTCACACAAGAATGATCACTACAACACTGTTTATAATAGGAAAAAATCAGAGGTAATCTAAATGTTCACGTACTAGGTAATGGCTACATAAAATATTCTGTATTTGTATGATGCAATACTGTAAAGAAAGAGGCTAAATCTATATACAACAACATATATAAATTTCAAAATAATTTCGTTAAATAGATATAAAAAAGCAGGTTGTAGAACATTCTTATTATACAGTGTGATATGTCATTTAAATTTAAATATTCACCAAGGATACATACATTAAAGGATACATAAGTAAGGGCTTAAAAAGAACCGGTACCTGAAGTCATAATAATGGATCCTCTGGGATGGAGGGGGACATGACAGAATGGGCCTGGGGTAGTCACCATCTTAACCTTTTATTAACAAATGATTGAAAAGAAAATGTGAAAAAATAATGCCAATTCTCTAGTAATTGTTATATTATTTGTACCTTTAAAAAAATTTTCCCCCAAAATGTTAAGAAACCATTCTTTTCTAAGAATAGTACTTATAGTTTTATTACTGCATCACTTAAACATGTAATCCCATATATATATATATATATATATATATATATATATATAAAATCTCATCATACCTGAAGAAACTTCATATAAAAAATTCACATGTAAAAAGATGAAACTATGGGACTTCCCTGGCAGTCCAGTGGTTAAGTCTCCACACTTCCAATGCAGGGGGCACATATTCAATCCCTGGTTGGGAACTAAGAACCCACATACCGCATGGTGCGGCCAGAAAAAAAACCTGCTAGAAATAAAATATGAATTTTTATGTAATCTGGGGGAAGAACATGAAATTCTTAAAATTGTGTAAGCATGACTTGAAACTACCCTAAAGTTGGCTAGATCAAACTACTAAAATAAACAAACAAACGTTATGTATGGCAAAATAAATCATAAATGAGGTTGAAAGAATAATAAACTGGTGGTGGTGGCGAAGGCTACTGTAACACATTTGACAAAGCATGAATGAATTTCTAAGTAGAAAGAACTAAAGACAAAAATGAATCCTCAACGAAAATACCAAGATATAACATGAAGAAATATAAATCAAAATGTGGGAAATGTTAGTGTTCAATGGTAATAGTAGAACTTCAAGCAGACTGGCAAAAAAAAGACTACCCTAATGAAGTGAGGGTATGGAAGGTTTGTGAATGACTCTCTGAGATTGTCAACAATCACAACATGGCATTAATTGTATCTCTGTCGAAACATGCATACTTTTAAACCTATTATCCTCCTAAATGGGTATTTATCCTGAGGAAATAACTAGACA